TGTGAGGTCACATCTACCTCAACTGGAATAAGATCTGACTGCCACCTTCTACTAAGACGTAAATACGTACAACAGTGTTCACTTGAATGAGTTCTGTGGAAATCGGCACCAGGTCATTTTGACTGCAGAGAAGCCACTAGTCAAACTGACGTTAAGGGCAGTTCAAGGACAAACAGGGATTGGAGCAGAGGCCAAGAGGAGTGCTTCTGGCGTGCTGTGGAGATTCTCGTCACCCAGTTTTTTGGATAGAAGCATCTAGCTCTTGTTCCTCTCTTCTGTTAGTCCCAAATCTTCGTCAGAGTAAGAACTGACTTTGAGAGGAATAAACTCTCTTCCAAGTATCTATTGTAGATATGTGAAAGATAGCTCTTGAGAAAATATCTGATTGTGATTTCATCATTTTGGGAAAAAGTATCTTGATATCCTTTGACTTGTTATTATCACAATTTCTTCTAAGACAGTGACTCATGTTATACTAACATGGGCCAAAAAAGGTACATGTGTTTTTTTCGTCCTTTATAAATTTTTTAATCTAAAAGTTGAAAATTGGGGTCAGCCCTGTGGCATAGCAGTTAAGTTCACACGCTCTGCTTCAGCATCCCAGAGTTCGCCAGTTTAGAACCCATGTGCGGACCTGCACACCACTTACCGGGCCATGCCTTGGCAGGCGTCCCACATATAAAGTAGAGGAAGATGAGCACGGATGTTAGCTCAGGGCCAATCTTCCTCAGCAAAAAGAGGAGGATTGGCGGCAGATGTTAGCTCACGGCTAATCTTCCTCAAAAAAAAAAAAAAAAAATCAAAATTGAAAATCAGCTTGTCCTTTACATTATAGCAGTAGATCTATAGAGGTCTCCATTTGATTTTAGAGCCTTTAGTTTGTCCTTTGATGAGGGACTTTAGTACTGCCAGTGAGTTGACTGGCCACAGCTGGGAGAGGTGACAGGCTAGACTTCTGGTCAGCTGGTTGGGAAGCTGTGCTCTGTCAGCTCCCGGTGCACATTCCCCTCTCTGCTTCATAATGAGACTGCAAACCACGTTTCTCCTTTGCCGGCCAGCTTTAGTCAGGTGTCACCAATAGTGGGCACATGAGCGACTGGAACCTGGAGGAGGGAAGCAGGGGTCTGCTCCTCTCGTTTGCTTCCTGTCCCTAACAGTGATGGCACAGCCACCATTCTCCAGCCCAGTTGTGCCAGTTAATTCCTGAGGGAGGAGTTGATTCCAGTTGGCAGTACTTCCATACTGTAGAATCAGCGTCATCTTCCCACTCCAAGAGCGCAGCTTCATCAGCTGGGGCCTCCTTCAGAGGCTTGAGCCCCAGCTCTGCGAGGTCCTGCCAAGTTCCTGAGGCACCAGCACCAGCTGAGCGGCGTCCAGTCCTCACAGGTTTGACTCCCAGCTCCACAGGGCACCTCCGTCAAGGTTCTAAGTTTTAATAATCCCTTGTCTCTATTTCCCATTCTGAAGAGGGGTAGCTGCTTCCTGTAGTTAGTGTCTCTGTGACATCTCAGTGTCCCCCTTTTGTGCAGTCACCTCTTCACTATGTAGTTAACAATAATTTATATCAAGTCATCTCTGTTAAAATAATTGGTGTGGTTTTGGTCTCCTGATACAACAGGCAAGCAGATGTGCAGCTTCTGAACAAAGGGGAGTGAGACCAGGTCCTCTTCCTAGCAACCGCAAGCCAGATCATTTTTCACTGCACGCATCAGCATCACATGGGGACTTTCCCTCCTAGACTGTGTGATTCACCCCGCATGGGATAACTGAGATTATGGGAAACTAGTGTTTACCTACTGTCTGGTCATGAAGTCCTAGCCTTGCTCCCTCCTTTATTCCCACTCTGCTCTTCTCCAGGCTCTTCAAGACATTCTGTCTATTTGTTCCTCTGTATTCTTCTGCGTTATTAGTAGCTTCTTGACTTCACGTTTCTCGCTAGTTAATCTAGATCCCATTATCATCATTTCAGCCACTCTCGCCAGTACCTTCTACTCTCTTACCCTTTGTCCTTCTGCCACACCACACTACAAAACCCAAGCCCAGATCATCCCACCAGTCTCCTCCTGTGCCCTGGCGTGTAAGTGCCTCTGGAGGGAATTCACAACCACCAAGTGTCCAGTGTCAGCTGGGCCCTAAGCGGTGCCTGGAGGGCTCTGTCTTCTTTCATCTTGGGTTGTGCTATTTCTATATTGTAATCTTTGTAACTCTGCTCTATTCTGACCCTACCCCTGCTCCCTTTTCACCCTCTCACTTGGAGGGTAGCCTCACCTATCTTTTCTCACCCCGAGTTGATTATGGAGGCAAGCTTAAGGTCTGTTTCCACCTCCACGTTTACCAGCATCTTTTCTTACCTGACTTGGGAGGAGAAGGTGTTCCTCCTCTTGTACAGGCTCAATCTTCCACTGACCAACCCTACTTTCTTAGCACTGGCTACTAGGCTATAAACTTTACTTTTCATTTTCTCCCTCCCTCTACCCCCAGTATAAATCTCTAAGGCCACAGGGATTTTACTTCCATTTCATTTGCTGCAGACATGAGGTGTGAGAGTAAGAAAGCAATTGTGCATAATTCCAAGATTTTTGGCCCAAGCACTAGAAGCTTGGAGCTGCCCGTAACTGAGCTGAGGAAGGTCGTTAACGGAGCAGGTTTGGAGGGGAAGGTCAGAAATTCAGTTCTGGACATGTTAGCATGTTAGACATCCGAGTGGAGATGTTGAGTAGGCAGTAGGATGTACAGGTTTCAGAGAGGAGGGCCAGGGTGTAGGGGTAAATATAGGTGTTATCGGCATAAAGATGACGTTCAAATCCATGAGATGAGATGAGAGCCACAAGAAGAGTGTGGAAAATGAAGAGAAGGAGTCCAAGAACTGAGCCCTGGGACACTCCAAAGCTAAGAAGTCAGGAAGATGAAGAAAACTATCCAGGAGATTGGAAGGAAGAGGCCTGTACTATAATAAGAAGGAAAACCAGAGTGTAGTGCCCTGGGATCCAAGTGAAGAAAGTGTTACAACGAAGGAAGAGGGAGCAACTGTGTCCAGTGTTGCTGGTAAGTCACATAAAATGAGAGCAGAGAATTAACTATTGGATTTGACATTGTGGGGAGTCATCCTTGACCTTGACAAGAGTGGTTTTGATACACTGGGGGGAATGAAGCATGACTGGAGGGAGTTTGATAGAAAGCGGATGAATGAATGAAAAATAAAAAGAACCTACTAGTTTGTGGGGATACAAATTATGAAGAGAAAAATGGTTTCTGATAAAATCTTGGTGCAATTATAAACATATGGGCCCTGTCAGTTAATCTGCTCACTGTTTATAGTTCTAAATTGCAGTCCAGGCCCTTCAGCTCTTGCCTGAATAGATATTGACTATACTGGGGGCATGGCTTTGTACAAGGCACAGAGGTTATCCCTTTGCAGGTTCTTTCGCCTTTTCTCTGCCATCTCTTTGACCACTCAACTCCTTGAACAAGATTTCAATGAGAGGTCCCATTTATACACTTGTTGATTTCTTATCCTTGGGACTCGTTTTAATCTTTCTTCTATCTGTTTAACGCTAGTGACCTCCCTTCCTCTTATCCTGTGGTTGCCTGTTTGTCTAATCCATGAGAGTGTAGCTTTTGAAGACCTGGACTCAGCAATGAATGACTTCAGCTGTGGCCCACTGTGTGCTTTCTGGCCTTCATCAGTGCTTCTCTGATCCCTCTTTTTAGAGAGAATTTTATGTATAAGCTTTTTTGAACTGATATTGTGGGAGAGAGAAAGGAAGGGCCTGGCTATTTCTAATGCTTTTTACTGGGATTGGGTGTTTCTTATGTTCTCTAATAACCAAAATAGTAACTGTTTGGTACTGCCTCGTTGGCACTTTGTAAGGGGGAGAGAGTGTGTGTGTGTGGAGGTAGGAAGGAGTGGGAAAGAAGAGGAAAAGTCCCATCTTCTGTGTGCCTGTTGCTTTCATGTGATAGAGCTTAATGAGAAGCTAGTAGATTTATTTCCTGAGCTGTGATATATTTACTTGTAAAAGACTTGTACAGATCCTTGTTTGTTTGTTTGAAATGAGTGTTGATTATCTTGAGATACAGAGGCCGTGGTTGCTGCCCCAAGGAAGGGCTTACGAGTATAAAACGCTGTCCTAACAGGCTCGCTTCCAGACCTGCTTTGTGTCCCCAGTGGATTTTTTTCATTTGTGGCAGCAGTTAGCCTGCTGCAGTGGCAAATGCTTCAGCAAGGGCTTCCCATCCAGGGATGTCTTGGCTGCCAGGCTTTTAGTTTCCTGCTAGTGACGAGATGCATAGTGGGTTAAGTTAGGGCGCCAGGGAATCAGTTGCAGCAAAGTCTGCACTAAAGCAAGCCGGTCACCCTTTCACCCATGAGTGTGAGGCTTTTTGTGCCTGCAGGCCCAGTAGGCCAGTGCGTGGTGATATGATTTGGAGGGTGGGTGACAGTTTGAGCTGTGGTGTGAGCACAGAGGGTGAACAGCAGTGGCACTAAAGAGCCTGAGCATCCTGCTTGTCTCTCTGATTGGCTCTTTGCATCCTACACAGAACCAGGGGCCACATGGAGACAGAGACTGAGGATGACCTCCAGAGCCCAGCTCCCCTCGGTGTTTCTCCTCCTTGGACTGCTCTGTGGGAGCAGTACCCAGGCCCAGTACATCCTGCACACATCACTCCTTGTGATGAACAGTGATACGAATACTAAGTAGCATCCTGACAAAGACTGATCTCTACTCTCAAATCCTTTTTTGTAGTAGGAAGAATACATAATTGAGAATATATTATCTTTGCAGAATTAACAAAAGGAAACAAGAATAAGAGGGCATTAGCCTCTACTAAACAAACTGAGCTTATCTGAATCATCTAGCAAGCCAGTAAGAATATCATCTATGGACTGACTTTAAAAATGAGCCCAATGAGGACACAGGCACCTGAGCTACAGATTTCTGGAGCATGCTTAAGCTTTTATCACTTAGAAACAAAATCTCCAGGAGGCGACTGAGATCTTTTCATTTTGAAAATGCTTTAATAAGTGTTGACAACACTGTTTTGCAAAATGTAAAGGTACTATACAAATTCTTAATACAAAAAGAATAAATTAAAAGCAGATTTCTTTTTAATTCTGCAACTTTGTCTACAACATACATCTTTTTCAGTGATTACAGTTGAACAGAATCTAGGAAAATCATTTTACATGCTCTACAGTCAGTTTCAGGAGCAACCTAATCCTTTTCTCCCCATTATTAAACTAGAGTCGATTTTACACAACTTGTAATAAACTATTGACATTAATGTATATGTAAAACTTTACACCTAGTTAACTAAGCAGTAACTGGTCATCTGATAGCACCTGGATGAGGTTTGCTATATTTAGAACTAAACTAATACTGAATGAAAACAAATTGGAATTTTAACAGTTTCAACACTGACCTGCATATAATAAAATAAAGAACGCACCTGTCTCGTAACAAAGGCTGGTGCAGGCGTTTTCACCAGTCTTCTGGCTAAACAGGCAATTTCTTACACTATCCGAAGAATCCAATAGGGGCTTTAGATCAGACCAGGGGCTTCATAGTTCATCTTATTTTGTTTTAAAGAAATCGGGGCCTATAAAGAGCTTGCAAGTGCCTGGATACAATAATATCGTTTCCCACACTGATCATTAATCACGTCAGCCTCAAAGGACTAACACCTTATGTACACTTTGTAGTAACTGAACGCAGCCAAACAGTAAAACCTGTTTTACTTAATCTCTGTTCTTACTACCAGACTGTCCTGATGTTTGTCTGAACTGTAATTCCCCTTCCTGCTCCATTCCTTTCTGCCCCCCGAATCCAAAACCCAAGCGTTTAGAAAGAATTTTCGTCTTTCATTGCTTGTAACCCAACTGGGCTAAAAGCTTGATCGATTGACTTCAGACTTGATTTCAAACTGCTGTACGTGTGTAACCCACAGCCATGTAACCTTGTCACCTTCTGTTTCCCTTTTGACTTTTCCCGTTGCACATAGTTCAGTTTGATTATCCGTGTATCTTCTTTTGGGAGAAAGAAAAATGGCCCAATGTACAATGTTTCCGAATGGAGAAGGCAAAAACCCTGTTTGTAGCTCTGACTGTCAAAATAAGAGCAACAAAAATATCCCCCCATCCCTCCCTGGAATCATTTAATAACATTGTAACCAGTTTTATTTGTCCTGAAGGGTTTACCCCTAAAGTCTTCTGTGAATACGAATCTCTTCCCTGCACAGAGGTGGGGGAACCCGGCCCTGAATTGTCCAGACTGGGCTCAGCCTGTTGTGAGCCCCCAGTGTGACCCCCCCCACCCCGCCAAGTGCTTTTCAAGCTGCAGCGCAGAGGGAGCACCATGATTATTTATTTCATTTTAGTGTCCATTCTTACCCTCCTGGTCTGGTAGAGTCAGTCTATTGTTATTCTTGGATTACACATACATAAAAAACAAAGATTTTTCTTTTTACGCTAAAGCTAACTGCAATTCAGCTTTCCCACAAAACCACCCCCACCCTGGCTCCTGTCCCTGGCTGTCAAACGCCTTTCCATTCGATAGGAAGTCATTCCAAGTGAGAAAAGATATCCCCCCTCCCCCGACTTGCGCCAATAAGCACAGCATACCACCTCTGTGGAGACCGTGTTTGTGCCATTTTGAATAACCCAACTAAGAGTGTGCACTGGTTATTATAAAAGTATTTTTGAGGACTTTGAAGATTGATGGCTTTCCAGTTGTGTATTAAGCACAGCTCAAAACACATGTAAACGAGCAGCTCCCACACACCTTTTTTCTCTCTTCTTCCTTTTTCCTTCCTCTTTTGGTATCTGTGGAAAATATGGTATATCAAGGTGGCTGATGATGTTGTAAGCGTATAAACTGGGTCCTCTGGGAGCTGATATTTTTTTCAACCCTGCTCTACTAGTAGACAATGTGAGTAAAATCTTTCTACCTAAGGACATAGTTGGGTTCTTTGACTAAGTGACACATTGGTTACGGGTGCTGAGAGAAGTCGGATCTGAGCTCTTTGTCACACAAGTGCTAACAAACATAAAATGAGCCACAACACTTAAACACTCGAATGGATTGCAATGTGCTTTTCCCTTGGTTTCCCATAAAAAATAAAATGAAACACCTTGTGCAAAAAAATAGGATACACTTTTACTGGTTGTTTTAATGACAGAGAACCACTTTTGGCAATCATCACCTTACGTTTCCTACAAACCCCCCAAAGGAAAGCAGCTTTGTGTCTTGGGCTTAGGCTGAACCCCCGTACAGACCAGGGCTAAGAGTACACTCTGCTACCCACCCCCAGGTCTGTCCTCCTTCGTGTCCAGACTCATGGGATCCACGTCAGCAATGCCAGCCAAGACTCCCCGCCTTTACCATCACGTTGGGTTAGTTTTTCAGGCTCTCGACCGAGAGAGAAGGTGGAAGGTTAAGGGAGAGGGATAAAGAGGGGGAACAGTTTACAAATGGTTGACTTTCACGTGTGGCGTGTAGTAGCAGTTTAGAATTTGAAAGAGATTTCATTGCAGAAGGAATGTCTTCCTCTTGGCCCCTCTTATTTTTTTGTGTTTTTGTTTTTTAATTTTTTAAATCTTTGGCAGCATAGAACTGATTGTGATCCTCTGATGCATCTCTGACGTGTTAAGCCTCTTTTTTCATTCCCCCTCCCCCAACAGCCACTCCCCCCAGGGAATATTTCAGGGGTCAACTGAATATTCCCAGGAGGCATCCTCTTCACGAAGTGCTTGGTTGGCCTACAGGTGACAGGTTGGCCACAGCTTAATAGTCTTTCTGGATCACCCTGTACTTAAGTCCCCTTTCCTGGTCTCTACCAATGCCATTTGTCCACAGGAATTTGATGCCAGCCAGCTTCCCTGACAGTTCCTGGCCTGGGGGCTGTCATGGCAGGGAGAAGCCACCAAGGTGCCAGTGAGGATTGGTGCCTGGCTCTCTGTGGACAGGAGAGCCAGGGGCCACACAGTGGGACCGGAACCTTCCAGAATGTCTCCTCAGTCAGGTTTTTGAGGGTGAGGGGATACGGAGACGGGAGAAAAAAAGTGCTGAGGGCCGAAGCTGGTGCAGGGTGACAGTGCGTCTGGGTAAGGCAAATGAGAGGCAGTGAGGTGATCTCAGAATGGCGTTGAGTCGGTCAGATTGAGGCCGGCTGGCTCACACAAGGGTCCCGGGCTTGGCTTTTTCCTGCCCGTACCACTGGACGTCAGCTAGTTCTGGATAGAGGGAGGAATCCAGGAAACAGCTGTCACTGTAGCTCCTGCAGGGAATCCAAGAAGAGACTGTCAGTGGAGAAGGACACTTACCAGCCCGTGTTCAGAAATATGTGTTTATTTCTACAGGGCCCGCCATCGATCAGGAGTCATCCCTGTTCATAAGGCATGAGGCCTGATACAGTGCTGAGTACACAGAAGGCTCTCCCCGACTGAAAAAAGTCCATGTAAAAGGGACCTACGCCTTGAACATCCGTGAAGGAGGAAAATGGAGCTAACACTGAGGCAGCGGTTCTCAAGCTTGGCTGCATGCTGGAATCACCTGGGAACTCTCAAAATCACTCATGTCTGGGCCCCACCCTGGGGACGCTGGTTTAATTGGTCTGGGGTGTGCTTGGGCATTGAAGCTTTCAAAGCACCCCCCCCCTCCCCCCCGACCCCAAGTGATTCTGCCATGCAGCCAAGGCCAAGAGTCCCTTGGCTGGATTCCTCAGGATTTTTTTCAACAACAGTTGCCTGGGTTGTCCTCCATGAGACCTAAGGCATAACCACATTTCACTAGATTTTTATTCTTTCTAGAAGCACACTCGAAATGTCACGATTCCCTGTAGTGAAACTGAGGTGATTTTTGAATAGAGTTTAAAAACTTCTGAATCAATGCTGCTTATTTTAAATAGCATATATTGTTTTGTGATTACAAAAAAAGTGTATGGAAAATATATAGGAAGATATATAGAAAGTGAGACATCCCTATGTAGGTTGGGTAGAAGTAATTTTTACATATTAATAAGCAATCAGAGAGATATATCCAAGCCAATAATCATTACAAGTACTTATTAGGAAGAACAGCCCTCTCCAATGATCCTACACTAGCTCTTTCAAGGCAAGATAAAGGTCAGACCTCATCTCAGTGAACGGAGGAGTGGATGGGAATTTGTCCAGTAGGTGCCCAGAGGCTGCCTAAGCTGCTGGGAGCTGCTCATGTGGCTTTTTAAAAAATTTTTTTTGAGGAAGATTAGCCCTGAGCTAACATCTGCCAATCCTGTTTTTGCTGAGGAAGCCTGGCCCTGAGCTAACATCCGTGCCCATCTTCCTCTCCTTTATATGTGGGACGCCTACCACAGCATGGCGTGTCAAGAAGTGCCACGTCCGTACCCAGGATCTGGAACTGGTGAACCCCGGCCGCCGAGAAGCGGAACGTGTGAACTTAACCACTGTGCCACGGGGCCGGCCCCTCATTCCTGTGTTTTTAGTGTTTACTCCTAGGAACTCTTCTGAGTGTTCATTTGTGCTGATTCCTAAAGGGATGAAACCTGTAGGCCTTTAACCACAGCCTTCGGTTTGTGAAGTAACGTTTTGTGAATGACACTGGTCTGTGACTCTGGGTTAGTAGGTTTGTGTGTTGTTAAGGCTGGATTTTCAAGTTTGACCTCCCCAGAGCATATGCTATTTTAGGGGTAGTCATATCTTTTGGAAACACCGCAAGGACTTGCCATGAATGTCAGAAGATGGTTTCCTCCCCTGCTGCCGATCTCCCCATACCTTGCACTAGGGTTATGGTTGGGGATGGGTGATGGAACAGACCCTAAACCAGTGTGGTTCAAAGAAAAGCGAGTTTAAAGAGCTTCTTAAGTACAGTCTCAGGAATCAGTTTATGACTGAGAAGGATCAGTCATCTCCATTTTTGTGTTTGATTTGCTGACTTCTCTAGGCACAAACGGATGAAGGCAGTCTGGATTTTGTAAATGTTTCTCATCTGGCTTTAAAAAAAAACCATGAAAGTTGGAAAACCCAAGGCATCTCTGAGCACACTGTGGCCTTGAATGAGAGTCCTGTGCCTGGAACCCCTGAAACATACTGGGATTAATACTGCTTAAATGTGGCTTCAGAAACAAAGTAACATAAAGACTCTTAATTATGGTACCGGCCATGGTCATATATTACTGTATTTAGGTGGTAAATGCTGACTCTGCTGCACCCTCCCTGCAAGATTCTGCTCCATCCTGAGAAAACTTTTGCCATTGTGCCTGAGGGATTGAGAAACTTTCTGTGGCAAAAGGTTGGTTGGACTCCACAGTGGACATGATACTGTCCTTTGGGGACAGTCCCTCCCTAATTCCATGTGGTCCTGGTGGTGCTCTCCACTAGGGTGTCACCCCCTACCCTCACCAAGGGTGGACAAGTGACCCAGGTGGGCCAATTAAGAGTCCTCCAACCAGTCACTGGTTCAAAGATGGGCATATGCCCAAGCAAGGCCAAGCAGCTTTCACACTATGAGGATGTTGGGCTCCTCCTGAGAGTGCAGGAGGTAGAGGTAGAGATGGAAAGAGAACTAGAAAGCCCTGGCTCCATTTGTGTTTAGCCATGAGACAGGTACGATAATGCAAAACTCATTAGTTTATAAAGGAACAGTTGGATCCAAATCACATTTCTGGAAGTTGAAATAAATTCAGGTTACCTGCTCAGACAGCTAAAGCTTTTTATTAATATTTGTGGAAAAAACACTTAAGATTTCTCATTCGCCTAAGTTCCGGCTTCCTTCCTCTTAAAGTTTGCATTTCAAAGACATGGCCTAGGGGGCCTGCCCCATGGCCAAGTGGTTAGGTTCCCACACTGTGCTTCCTGGCCCAGGGTTCACTGGTTCAGATTCCAAGCATGGACCTACACACTATTCATCAGGCCATGCTGTGGCAGCATCCCACACAGAAGAACTAGAAGGACCTACAACCAGGATACACAACTATGTACTGGGGCCTTTGGGGAGGGGAAAAAAAAGAGAGATGACCCAGGAAAGAGTTCCTGGAGAAAACCAGGTAGAACATTTACATCTCAAAGGCACAGGGAAAGAATGCAAGTTCCTCCAAGAATAACTTTCATTTCCTAAATCCAGATCTTTTAAAATATCTACAAGCCTTTTGAGATGAACAGCAGAGATTCTGAGATTGGTAAAAAGATTAGGTGGGCTTTGCATTGCTTCTAGAACTACATTTCTGTTCTTGTAAAGACTAGATTTGTAAGATAAGTACAGCTGTTTTTAATTCCTCAAGGAATTGGGTGCAACTTGAATGAAGCCAATAAGATCTTTAAAATATACTCAGTTGAATTTTGTTTTTTAACAGTTTGGTGGCAGCAGTGGGATCCAAAGGAGACTTCTGACAGCTTCAGGAATGGGAAACGGGCATTCATACCCATGGACCCTTTGGCTCCTCTGTCTGTCTTGCCATTTTGGATGGTTGTGGGTAGGTCCCTCTCAGTGCCAAGCTCTGCTCAACTTGCGCTTGGCTTCCAATCTAACTGGCTTTCCAGTCCAGGATTAAGTGGCAGGAGGCTCTAACAGAGTGCCAGTCCTCAGCCCTCGCTGGGGCTGCAGTCTCAGTCCAGGGCTTAGCAGGTCAGCTTGAGCTGGCAGATGGTTTCACCCAGCACTTCAGTCCCTAGCCCTTGGTTAGTGCACAGTCTTTGGGGACGCCTCTTGCATCCATGGGGTCATTCAATACTGCCTGGAATATTTACTCTTTGTCCCAGCTGAAACCCGACAAGATTTTTCTTTTTTTAAGATTGGCCCTGAGCTAATCTGTTGCCAATCTTCCTCTTATTTTTTTTTCTCCCCAAAGCCCCAGTACATAGTTGTATATCCTAGTTGTAGGTCATTCTAGTTCTTCTAGGTGGGACCCCACCACAGTGTGGCTTGATGAGTGGTGCATAGGTCCATGCCCAGGATCAGAACCAGAGAACCCCACGCTGCCAAGGTAGAGCATGTGAACTTAATGACTCAGCCACAGGGCCAGCCTCCCTGACAAGATATTTGAAAGAATTTTTGAAGTAGTTCTATGGTCATAAGTTGGCCAAATTGGAAGCTGATACTCAGAGCCCCATAGAACTTTTTCTCTGGCTTTCTCCCTCTAAGCCAAAATAAACTGTGTGCCCAAGAAAAACATTCTGAAGTCTTTTGTGGGAGGACTTGCTAAAACATTCTGATGACAAAGTTCTAAATCTAGAACATAAGCATCTTTGGATTTCCATCTTGGTTGAAGATCTTCTCCCTGATATAAGGACGCAAACTGAAGATAATGTACAGCCTTGTGTCACTTAACAGTGGTGCTATGTTCTGAGAAATGCATTATTAGGTGCTTTCATCTTTGTGCAAACACCACAGAGTGTACTTATGCAAACCTAGGTGGTTATAGCTACTACACACCTAGGCTATATGGTACTAATCTTATGGGACCACCACCATGTGTGCAGTCTGTCCCTGACTGAAAGGTTATGTGGTGCCTGACTGTAGTTGGATGGGTGGATCAACTTATGTCATTCAAGTCGCAGCCAAATTCCATGAGGAATTAAAAACAACTGTACTTGTCTTACAAATCTAGTCTTTACAAAAACAGAAATGCAGCTCCAGAAGCAATTCAGACCCCACTTATCCTTTTTACCAGTCCCCAATCGTCCTGTATTCATCTCAAAAGTCTTGCAGGTATCGTGAAAATTCTGGCCTTAAGAAAGCGAAGTCCTCTTGGCAGGAGCTTGCATTCTTTCCCTGTGCCTTTGAGATATAAATGTTCTATGTGGTCTTCTCCAGGAACTCTTATCTAGGCCGTCTCTTTGAAATGCAAACTTCAGGGAGGTAATTCTTATCAGAAGGAATAAAAGAATAGGGAATGCTATTTGGAACTTAGGCAAATGAAAAATCTTAAGTGTCTTCTCCACAAATATTAATAAAAAGCTTTAGCCTTCTGAGCAGGTAACTTTAATTTATTCTAACTTCTAGAAACACGATTTGGATCCAACTGCTCTTTTACAGAATAGTGAATTTTGCATTATCGTACCTCTCTCATGGATAAAATTTTAAAATGAAAGCTGTAAGAGCTTTGTTCACATCTGTCTGTATGTTTATGCATGTATGTATGTTGTAAATGTGTATTTTCCTACCTCGGGATGGTATTGCCAAAATTAATTTGCAAAAGAGCTCTATTTATTTGGCTTAAAAAAATAAGCACATATCAAATTAAGTATTAGAAAACTCTCAGAAGTATAGAAACTTAAATGT